TAGTAGTAGTTGTCGTCGTCGTCGTTGTCGTCGTCGTCGTAGGAGTAGAAGGAGTGGCAGCAGTGGTAGCAGTCGTCGTCTTAGTAGCCGTAGTGGTAGTGGTGCTATAGGCAGTGGCAGTAGCACTGGCATTGGCAGAGGTGGTGGTGGTGGGTGTGGTTCCACGGCTCCCGCTGCGGCGTGTGAATCACAACGTTTCCTGTCCCGGTGTAGCCGCGTCCCCGGAGTAGCGTTCCAAAACTTGATGAATCGCGCTCCAGCCACTGTTGGGTTTCGACTGCTAGGTCTCTCACGGTTTGGCGTCTAAGCTGGCTTAATATCATTAAGATGCTTTGATCATTATCAAGGGCTGGCAATGACCCCTGGTTGCCCTCCTGGTTGCCCAAATGCAGAAACCCTGCTGATGATGGGTGGCAAACCAAAAACCCAGAAAAGCATGACGGGTTTCCGGAAACTCCAGGCGCCCCAAACCTGGAACAAAAGACCAGAAATGACGGCAGGCACTGCCAAACCCTACGAGGAGTGCTTGGATGAAGACCTAAACCCGAAAAGCGCCCAGAGATGATCGGCAAACCCACAGCCCCCCGAAGATGCGACTGGTTCCCCAAACCACTGAACCCCAAATGGAGCGACCGATTGCTGCCGAGAATCCGTAACTGACCCTGAAAGGAGAATTAGCAGAGATGATGGGAGCCAAAAATTGAAATGAGTGGGAGTCCTAAAACCCTTAAACCCTTCAAGGAGCGACTGGCACGGCGCACCGGACAGGAATCGGTGGTTTGCAGAGAAGAGAGGCGCAACATGGCAAGGGCAGAAAGAAATGGATGCTGATCCAGCTCACATCACGTCGGAATCTTTAAGGGAGGGCCAACCGCAGGTGCCGCAAATTTGTCTGTCACGGGGGAAAGTCAAGGTGCTCCCAGGTCCAACCTCGAAGCCTTTTGTCTTGACAGCGGCCGGACGCAGCCTTGGAGGAATGCCAATGCTTGTGATGCCCTGGCGACGTGTCAAGCTGAGAGCGTGACCGCTGCCTGTGCGGTGGGACAGCATACCTGCTGTAGCGGATGTTAAAACGCTGTGACGCAAAAATTGACTGGAGAGTCCGTCGACAGCCGGACACGCCGCCAAGGAAGCCATCTGTCTTACGTGTACTTCCTAAAATGCTGTTGCTCACGATGCATCCGTGCAATTGAACTGCGGTGGGTGACAGCCGGGCCTCTGCAATCGTATGTGGCAGATCCACACCACTGGCAGGCCGACAAAGCAAGGCGACAGCAGCTCGCGTCGCACCGACAGCCTCCAGCCACAGCACATGTGCTAAGGGCACAAGCATGCCGGGCCACTGCATCACCGTACCAGTTTCTCTTTGCAGGTGCACCATGTATTGCAGGGTGGATGTTGGTTTTGCCAGGAAGAGTGTTGCAGAATGTTGGGACGACAGCCAGCTGCTTTTACATGCAATTTCAGAGCGAACGTAGCTTACCTCGGCCCAGGGTGTTGTCCACGCCGTGCCTGGCAATCTCCAGCAAGCAACATGACAGCTACAGAAATGCAATAACTGCTGCATGCTCTGCGACAAAGCCCACATTGCACGGACACAGACCCACTGAAGAACCTGAGCCCGCCACACCGGACGTGTCCGGGGGACACCGTGCCGCAGGTTGGCTTCTAAGCATTTGTGACGACCGGTAGGCCTTCAGAGCAACTCACTCACTCCCAGTTGCAGCTATGCTCCGCCTGGTCTGCAGTACGCAACTCTGCTTGCAGTGCAATGAAGCCTTTCAAAATCTGGATCGAGATGAAGCAAGTACAGTATGCTTCTTGACATCTGTCTGTTTTTCGTGCAGCGGGCAGCCTGGGCCTGCCGTCCCAGGTCCAATGCCATGGCTGCATGGCATCTTCTCGTAAGTGCCCCCGATGGGAACTACGTTTCAGAATTTCAATACGCCACCCTGAAGTACCAACTACTAGCACAGCAGATCAAGTGATGTACGGAAATGTGGGGTTGCTCTGGAATTCTTCCGACGAAGCTGTAAGGACAATTTCTCCACTTGGGCAAACGGCAGCAAAACAAGTCGTAAAGCGCTCTGCAAGCGATCTGATCTGAAAGTAAGAGCACGCAACATATCCTATCAAGCCTTTGAGCTTTTCCGGAAACACAGTCTGCGGAGTACTAACAGTAGCAAGATTGAGAATGTGGGAGACATACGGAAATGGAAGGAGGGAGGGAGGGAGGGAGGGAGGGAGGGCTCCAAGACTCTGCCGAAGCAATCTACCCGACAAGTCTCAGATCTGACCATGTGCATCAGGTAAAGGAAAGATCCACGTCCTCAGGGTGCTGCACACGTACTCTCATAGTCATAGTCATAGCGATGCATCTGCACTCAGGCGTAAAATGAGCAAAAAACAGACCAGCCAGTTGCAGCAAAGGAACACCCTCAGCAAGCAACAGATCCAGATGAGCGGTGTCCAGACCCAGCCCTGCGCCTCAGTGAGACTCCAGGAGCTTTCTCAGGTCAGGGAAAAAGGCATACCCCAGCGAAACCAAGTGCTGCTCCAAGCGAACAGCTTCCACTGGGGAGCTTCTGTGCCTGGGAGGCCAACGATGCCAAGGATGTCTGTCCGGTCTGGGGCTTGGATCGGGTAAACTCTGCAATCGTAGATCCCCAAACACTGCAAGAAGCACTTGTACCCCCCTAAGGATGCCACCACACCACGACAAGACCATCAAACCCGGGAGACCACCAGGAAACCGCCAGTTGTCAGGGCACCCTACCAAAATCCTTCACTCCCCATCCGTACTTGTGGGATTCAGCGTTCTACGGGCACTCTTCAAGCTTACTTCAATGCTTTCCGCCTTGTCTGGTGGGTGACGGTGGGTGTTGAGGATTGTCAGGGCGCCCAATGTAATATTGGAGATTTTAGAGTTTACAAGTCACAGTTATAATATTTTTCCGGAGGATGCGACCGAACCGGAAGTGTGTACATCATGGGAAATGAGGGTCAACTGCGCACCACGCCACAGCAGGAGCACGCAATATTGGGCGATCTTGGAATCTTGGCGTGAACCTTACCCAATTGTCTTCACCCTCGACGCACGAGGCATTAGGAGCCTCGTAGTGTGTACCACGCTGTTTATGCAATATAACCACTTGTCGCATGCTGGTGTCGCATGCATCATGCACGGGGCCTTTACCACCTAATTGAAGATATCCAGGTATTTTACACGTTGACCATGTCTCTTGGTAACGTGGACATCCGCGCCTTCTTCTTCGATCTCGCCTCGCACTTTACTGACTGCGCCTGCCCAGCGGCTGGACTGTGCACTTGGAACATGTAATCTCCCGCCATCTCCCGCCGAAACAAGTATCGAACATGTCATCTACACTAAGCTGCCGTGCCGTACTGCCCGCCCAAACATCCCCAAACCCAGTGCCGGCCGCAGCCTTCTGCTCCTCCAGGATGAAACGAGCAAGGCGGTCGTCTCGCTTGCCGTAGCGCTGCGCAGAAAGGAACAGTGCTGGCAAGACCCGAAGACCACCTCACACTCCCTCGCTAAAGACCGCACTCCGTAAAAAAAGAAGGTCGCTGCTAGTCGCTGCCCGCTCTCTTCGTCTTCCGTGCCTCGCGTCTCCAGGCCCGGGCCTCGGCCTCATCGGCCTGGGCCTCAGGGAGAAAAACCAAAAAC